CCAAGGAGTGGCTGGTGGGTTTGAACCGCCAGCCTTCTGGTTAGCAGTCAAGTGCTTTAGCCACTATGCTACCAGAGCTCCTCCTTTTTAAATAGTTGTATGATATTCCCTGGGACCCCTACTGGCACAAAGGTTAAGCAATAGGCCGCTAACCAAAAGGTTGGTGATTTGAACCTACCCAGTGGCTTTGCAGGAAAAAGACCTGGTGATCTGCTCCCATAAAGATTACAGCCTAGAAAACTCTGTGGGGCAGTTGTACTCTGTCACATGAGTCACTCCTAACAACATTATATTCCATTGAATGGAATTATCATGATGTACTTACTCCTTTAATGGGAAGGCTTAGACAGGTAAACCTCAGCTATCTGTTTGCACATGGCATTTTAGAAGTAAAGGCAAATCAGGTTAAAGTATTACCCTGGTAGTGGAGAGAACTGAAACCAAGTCACAAAGCTGCATAAGAATTTTGTTGTTGTTATCAGCTCCCCATCAAGTCGGCCTGGGCTCATGGTGACCCTATGCACAACAGAATGCAACTCTGCCTGGTCCGGGGCCATGCCTGTGATCAGTGGAGGATTTGACCACGTGATCCACAGGGTTTTCATTGGCTGATTTTCAGAAGTAGATTGCCAGGCCTTTCTTCCCAACCCATCTTAGTCTGGGAGCGCCACTGAAACCTGTTCAGCTTCATAGCAACACGCAAGCCTCCGCTGACAGACAGGTGGTGGCTGAGTGTGAGGCACACTGGCCACCAGTGTGTGATCCCTGGGGTCCCTGTAGTTTTAAGGGTTTGAATTTCATAGGGGTAGAAGGCCTTGGTGTTAAGTAGAGTCATGGGGCCAGATATCTGAGGTTGTTGAAAGGGCCCAGGGTATGTGTGTGTGTGTGTGTGTGTGTGTGTGTGTGTGTGTGGTAAAATGTGCATAACACAAAGCAGCATTTTAACCATTTAAAAAAAATTATTGTGATAAAATATATAACAAAACATCTGCCATTTCAGCGTTTTTCATATGTGCAATTCAGTGACATTATGTTCATCATTATGCGATGATCACCACTATCCATTTTCCTATTTTTCTATCACCTTTCACAGAAACCATGCCCCCTCCCTTTTAACCATTTTCTAGTGGAAATCCAGTGACGTTTAGTATGTTCACAGTGTTGTGCAACCATCACCTCTGTCTAGTTCGGGACATGTTCATCACCCAGAAGGAAACCCCATCCCACTTTGCAGTTATTCCTCTTTCCTTCTTCCTCCAATTCTAGGAACCCTGGCCTGTTTTTATGTTGTCTATTTCTAATGAAGTGTTGAAGTCTCTTTCTTAAAAAAAATTCCTTTTCCCCTCCAGTGTCTTTTCCCTTGCTGAATTAAATAGATTTTTTTTTTTTCTGCCTTTATTGTAGCATCTATGTCATGGGCCTGGTCTTGGAGTGGATTAAGAACAATGGTGGAGGAGCAGCCATGGAGAAGCTTAGCTCCATCAAATCTCAAATGATTTATGACATCATTGATAACTCTCAAGGATTCTATGTGTAAGTTGATGGATTTTATCTCACATTTTGCCTCTTGCGAATTTTAAAATGCTCTGTATAATACTGTATACTTTTGAAAAATGGACACACTCTCTTCTCTCTGAGACGTTGAAGTTTTGGTGAGTTTGGGTTGTCCTTGGGCCCCATGAGCATGAGGGATGAGCTGTTCCCTGCATTCCACCTCCACAAACCCAGCCTGTCTCCCTGTTAGGTGATGACATCTCTCATACCAGACATTGCCCTTGGGAAGAACCTCAGTTCAGCCCTGGCTCAGACCTTTCTTGATGGAAGCTCTCAACTTGTTCCTTTTCCTGCTGGCAACTTGTGGGGTAAATACTCACTCCTGGTTTCCTCCACTGGCTTCAGAAAGTTCATTGCTTTCCTTAATACAACCTAAATCCTCCCATCCCAGGCCTGCTGTCAGTAAATGGAATTGGCTATGGGATGGGTGATCCCTAGGTAAATATTTTTGTGACCAAATGACTAATAAGTGTATATTGACCACTGGGTCAGTGGCTGTGAGGGGCACAGGAAATGTGTGGGCCTTGTATTAGTTTCGTAGGGCTGCGGTAACAAATGAGCACATATTTAGTGGCAACAACAGAGATTTATTCTTTCACAGTCCTGGAGGCCGGGAGTCCCAGATCAAGGTTTCAGCAGGGCTGTGGTCCCTCCAGACGGTGTAGGACGGAATCTTTCCTTGCTCTTTTCAGTTTCTGGTAGTTCAAGGTGGTCCTTGGTTTGTGGCTACGTCAGTCTAGTGTCTGCCTCTTCTTCATGTTGCCCTTTCCTCTCTGTGTATCTTCTTCCTTCTATCTGTCAGAAGGATGCTTATCATTGAGTCTAGGGCCCACCCTAGTAATCCTGGGTGATTCACTCAGAGACCTTTAACTTAATTTCATCTCCAAATATCGTTCTTTCAAATAAGTGTATGTTCACAGATTCTGCAGGTTAGGACTTAACACATCTCTTGGGGGCCAGCATTCAACTCCCTACAGACCTTTCACCAAAATGTCAGATGTAAAAAAAAACTGAGTGCAGGGCCTGGCACACAGAGAAGCTTACAAATGAGATCTTCATTTGCTTTTCCCTCTCCCTTAAGATGGGCACAGATGTACAAAGAAAAAACTTTACACTGTATGTGTGTGTGTGTGTGTATTCTTATATATGTGTATGCTTTTGTGCACACTTCCATACACATACATAAATATTTATACTCACTTATCAAAGTCAAGATATCCTTCTTAGCAGTCATGAATTTTTGGGATTCACTTTTGTTGTAACAAAAAAATATCTGGCTGACAGTAGCATAGGGATTTGTACTATCTTTGAGAATTCAGCGGGCCATATCAAACCAAACCAAACTCATTAACGTCAAGTCTATGTGACTCATAGCGACCCCTCCATGGGTTTCCGAGGCAGTATCTCTACGGAATTAGATTGCCCAGTCTTCCTTCCAAGGAGTGGCTGGTGAGTTTGAACCTCCAGCCTTCTGGGTAGTAGTCAAATGCTTTAGACACTAAAAATGATGCCATGATCCTAACTTAGAATTGGGTGTTTTAAGCAAGACTCCATATCACCAAAACCACCTATGTGCATGGAAGTTCATACCTCTTAGACTTTCAGTAGTCCTTAAAATGCTTGTTGCCTGCTCCTGTGACTTCTTGCTGTTCCTTTGGCCACAAACCCAGGCTTGGCTGAACCCCTTGGCTGTTGGACTTCTCTCTCCTGTGCAGTGGCAGAGCCCTGTGCCATCTGAGGGAAGGGTGCACACTTAACATTACTGCCCACTCTGCAGTTCTGTGTAACAGAGAGGGAAGTGTAGGCTGAGGGCTTGTTCCTGGAGAAGCTTCCGCCCTAGACCCTGCTGTATAGGTGGGGAAGCCAGAGGGCCTTGCAGTGCTTACTGGAGCCATTCTAACATGTAGGATTAGCGAGCGGCAGGCTGTCCCCGTTGTTCACAGTCAAAGGCTAAGGAATGTGGCATGAGCTTGGAGCAGGGATATACTGTTCTGGATGGAGGAGAACACTGGATGAACCAAGCTTTGGATATGGGTGAGCTTAGAAAAGAGGGCAGAAATACTTTCAGGAACTTTAGGAAGATGGAGAACGGACCTCACAAAGCCACAGTGTTTTGGGTGCCTGGAGGGAATGGCTTATGCTGGGATTAAAAGGAAATTGTAGAAAGGTCTGAGGACCTGTTTAGTCCACCTTTTCATTCATTCATTCATCTACTTGTTAGCAAACGGTTCCCAAGCACCTACTCTGGGCTAGCCTTGTCTAGGCTCTGGGGATACACAATGAATTAGTCATCTTCCCTGGCTCCCAAAGTGCTCAGAACCTGCCTGAGGGAACACACTTGCAGCCAGTTGTGGAGGGGAGACCAGTTTTTCTATTAGCTTCTGGCTCCAGAAGCTCTTCTTATGTCTTGGAAGAATTACAGGCATAAAACTAGAGGACAGAAAGAATGAAGGGAATTAGAAACAAAATAAGAAAGTGTGGAAGGAAATCCAAGAAGCCCCTGAATTCTCTGTCCCGAGGTTCCTTTCCCTCAAAGCATCCCTCAGAGTCTGGGCATTTCCCTAAAGGAAGCCTGATAAACCCAATGGGGCAGATCTTTACTGGCGGTCTGATCCCCTTCGCCATCACCCCAAGCACCCAGAGCTCCACACTCCCTATGAATGGCCTGCCCTGGGAAGCTTGGTTCATCCAGAAAAAACTGCCTGCTGGGAACTTCTTGTTTCCATCTACCCCCTACCCCCTTGGCTGCCTGCCCAGAAAATGTCACGTGGGCCCAGAATGTTCTGTGGGGCCTTGTTACTGGAGTTGGCCGTGGGGTTTTAGGCCTGTCTCTCCTCAGTGTTTACTGGGAGCACTCACTATCTGTCCTGTGCTCATTGGGAAATCCTCACTTTAGGAGATTCTTCACTTTTCTTTCAAATCATGGCACGAGCTCAGCAAAATGACTTCCAAAGGAGAGGTGGCAGTTCTAACGAGTAGTACTGTGTAACCTAGGATTTGTAATTAACCATCCCGTGTGTCTCATTTTTGTTTCTGAGAAGATGAACTCCTTCCCTCTTCTCATGTACCCCTACCAGCTCATAGGGCAGCCCCTTTATTGAACACAGTTCTGGGAGGTTTTCTGGCAGTGGCAATAGCCCTGCCACTGTCAAGAGGCTTCCCAGTGACTTGGCCGAGAACTTCGAGACTGGATAGGACAGCCGCTGATGGGTGAGTTCATGCCAGAGCCTTATCAACCACACGTACTTGCTGACCCCTAAGTTGAGCCCACACTGGCAGTATAGCGACATTTGATATTGGAAGCCTAGCTTTGCCACTTACTAGCATGTGACCTTGGGCAAATGAGTTAACTACTCCCAGCCTTAGTTTCTGTATCTGTAAAATGGACATAATAATAGTATATACTGCTTATAGTAGTCATGTGAATTATGTGAAAATGCACATGAATAAAGACTGTATATTATAGGGGTTAAGAGCATAGGCTATTGTGCCAATTAATTTGTATAAAGCACTAGAAATAGTGCTTAGCACATTGTAAGCAATCCTTAAGTGTTAGCTCTTGATATTACTGTTTGTGCTTATGATTATGTAGTTTTCTGTATCTTGCTAGATAGAGAGTGATTCATTCCCCTTAACCTATCTCCCCCCACTCCCAGCTCCTACCTAGAGACTCACTGTCATGGGCAATGCATAAATATCTTTCTGCAGATTTAATTTAATCATCAGTTTCTAGTTTTTATGAAATTATTGCTGTCATACCTTCTAGATTCATGATGGGACTGGTAAATTTGAGAGGAGGGTGAACTGCAAATACAGACTCGTAATTCTTCCTTTCTATTTTTTTCCCTTAAATTAAAAAAAAACATCAAACCCAGTTACTGTCGAGTTGGCTGCAACTCATGGCAACCCCATGTGGGTCAGAGTTGAGCTGTGCTTCTTTGGGTTTTCAGTGGCTGATTTTTCAGAAGCAGATAGTCAGGCCTTTCTTCCAGCGTGGCTCTGGGTGGACTCAAACCTGCCTTCTCTTGGTTAGCAGCCGATCATGGTAATGTTTGCACCACCCAGGGACTCCTTTGGTAAGTTAGATATGCTTTATTTTGTTCCACATCTGTTATAGGACCCTCACATTGAGTGCCTGAGGCAGCAGAATATCAAAAGAGGGCAGCCACTGAATTTTTAATTTATATGTCACCTACCATCTTGTATAAAAGGGGGGCTAGGATTTTAGGCTCAAAGTCCATTACCAGACATTTGGTCCCTCTATTCAGCCCCTCTCTTGCCTGAAGGTATACACTTGACTCCTGTTAACTCAAACAAGAATTATATATGTGCCTACAGGGAAAGCATAACTTTTAACAGGGGCTTCCTCACTCTGCTTTTATTTGCTGTTTAATTTTAATGAATCCCTACTCTGTAGAAGTGCAAGAATAAAATGCTTGAGAAAGGGGAGAGAGGGTTATTCCACGTTGTGCTTTATTTTAATTCCAGGGTAGCACGTCAGCTCTTTTTCCTTTTGTTTCCTTTTGGTTGTCAGTGGAAAGTAAGTTTGGCTGCTTATTTTCTAGATCTGAAATTGAGGTCAAATACTAACCTTTCCTAGATAAAAATTTATCCATCCATTTTTGAGACGCTCTGTGTACTAAGTAAGACTATTTAAGTGCTGGGAATAAAAAGACAAATTTATTGCATTTAACAGATGTTTATATAGCATTTAATATGCTCCAGACAGTGTTCTAAATTGTATCAGTTAGTTATTTCTGCATGCAAAACCACCCCAAAAACTTAGTGACTTAAAACAATAACCATTTCATTTGCTCGTAATTCTGTGGGCCAGCAATTTGGCCTGAACTTAGCTGGGTGGTTCTTCTGCTGGTCTCTCCTGGGGGCCTCATTTGACCGCAGTCATTGGGTAACTCAGCTGAGTCAGATGTGGCACTCCCATGTCTGGCAGTTGGTACTTACTGTTGGCTGGGCTGCTTATCTCCAGCAGGCTAGCAGGGGCTTGCTTCCATGGCAGCAATGTTTTAAGAGGGCAAGAAGAGAAGCTGC